TAATTTGATCTAATTTATTGAACATGATTTAGAGAATTAGGCGTTTGAAGTTGTGCATATTATCGTTTTTTCCGTAAACTAGCTGCGGTAGAACGATCAGTACAAAAAAAGGAAAAAAGTATTTGCAAATATTCTACATTAACTTACAATAGGAAGAATAAATCTACTGTTTACTTCTATTGGAAATAGTCAAAATCTTTTTTAAGGGGGTAACGAGGCGCTCAAAAATTACTGTTTTTTTTGCAAGAAATGTGAAAAGGCTCTTAACGTCAACGATCGCAGCCGAACGCGCTAACTCGCTCCTCACCACACCTTGAAACTTCACCAATATATAAATATAAAAAAACTTCAATTCTTACTGTGCTCATTATTCATTTTATTTCAAATAAATGTATAAATTAATCTCATTTTGTCTGGGCCCGCGACCTTTTTCGCATTGTCTTTAGCTTCAACATCAATTTAACATTTTTCCAAAAGTATCCCATATCTTAATCCAAGTCATAAACTAAATGCATACCAAATTCAAATCCGTGCAGTACTTAGTTTTTGCATGATTAAGTAACAAACATACAAACTTTCACATTTATAATATTAGTAGCATAAACCTAACTGTTCCATATTAATAACAAACTAGCAAACCAGTGAACCAAATGTTCACCAAAAAAAAAATGTATTTAATTAATTGAGAACTTCGGAGATTTTGTGTGGTTTCGTTTGAAATAGAAATCACGTGATTTCTCGAAAACCGGAAGTGCTACGTTACTCACATCCGGTTTGTAGTCTTATCAGACTATTCTTAACTTATAACTTAAACATTCTCTATATCTATCTCTTACGGTTTGGCCGCTGAAACAGCACCACGGACGGACGGACGGACTTGTCTAATAGATAAGAGATTATAGGTAAAAACGTGACAACCCTTTTCGACCCGACATTCTCAGAGCAAATGGTGATTCCGTATGGCCGGAAAAAAAATAACTTTATTCGACGTTATTCCACCCCCGGGTTTAATAACCCGGTCTAAATAAGATTTATATCCTTTAATATCGCAAATAAATGCGAATTCGGTATACCTGGTCGGGAGTCATCGGCTTAATGGTGAAAGTTGTGGCTTAATCTTTGCATTATTATTTTTATATGAAAAGGTTAGCGAGGCATATGGCCAGCCTGATGGTAAGCGGACACCACAGCCTATAATATTTGCAATATAGATTAAGATTGCAATATCTATACTTATAATAAATCTGTAGAGAGGTCAATTCTGTACATGAAATATATTTTCAAAAGACCTATCAGGGGGTGATTAGTGATCGATACTGATGCCAAAAATGCAATCAGTAAAGTTTTTGTCTGTCTGTCTGTCTGTCTGTCTGTGTGTATGTTCCTTATAGAAACAAAAACTACTCGACGGATTTTAACGAAACTTGGTACAATTATTCTTCATACTCCTGGGCAGGTTATAGCACACTTTTCATCACGCTGCAATCAATGGGAGCAGAGTAGTGAAGGGAAATGTTGGGAAAACGGGAGAAGTTACTCCATTTTTTAAGCTTCCGTCGCGTGTGCAGCTATAATGGTTAAAGTAACATAGAAATCATGTATGACGGAAATATTCTACATAAAATTGTCTAAAAAATATCCCGCAACAGCATATGTCTATCTTTTATGGTTGACTCACAATAACACGTGTAATTATATAAATAAAGTCGTTCTTTATAACACAAGCCTGAGAACAAAAACTAGTTTACACTACAGCTCTACACCGAAGCGAAGCGAGGGCGGGCCACTAGTAATAAATAAATATTTCCAACACACACACCAATTAGCCTAGCCCCAAAGTAAGCACTGTAAGGCTTGTGTTATGGGATACTAGGGTAATGGATAGAATACATATACAGTACATCATCATCATCATCAGCCTATTAATGTCCCCACTGCTGGGGCACAGGCCTACCCTATGGATGGAATAGGGAGATTGGGCCATGACCCACCACGCGGGCCCAGTGCGGATTGGTGGGTGCTAACGACTGCAGATGCAGCCGGGACCAACGGCTTAACGTGCCTTCCGAAGCACGGAGTAGCTCGAGATAGTAATTTTTGGTCACCCATCCAATGACCGACCTCTACGAAAGTTGCTTAAGTTCAACGATCGCAGCCGAACGCGCTAACCACTTGCGCCATCCCCACCTAACTCGAAAGCCATTCATTGGTTTGAAACCACTTACTACTGACATACTGTACCCTTAGTACGAGTTTTACAATTACTAAAACTATGAGCTCACACTCGTACTAAGGGTGCTGATTATATTGTTTTCGTTTCAATACAAATAAACGGTGTTTAAATTCTATTATTAAATCATTTGCATTTTCTTAAATTTTAAGTATATGTGGTTACTTTTCACCAAGATGGACATAGAAACATAATATACAATTACGAAAACTATGATAGTTTTCGTGAGCTCAAACTCGTACTAAGGGTACTGTTTCCGCTTCGACTCGAATTTCGATATTCTTTTCGAATTGGAATGTATCTGGTACATTTGCATGCAACAATGTTTAAATCAACAAATTAAAACTACAGCCGTGACTTGACTAAGAAAAAATAAATACGATCGCACTAATTAATCGACCACAAAGGATGGCTTTAGTTGAATTTAATCGGAAGTTCGCATGGAAAATGTGACTCGAAAACGAATACTGGAATCGCTCGATCGCAATTGTGTCGTATACGATTTGTCGTGTCATCATAACAGTCGCATGAGCTAACTAGTCTTTTCGATTTTTTAAATTTTCGCCCCGGTATTACCCACTTTACACAAAATTTTGCACTTGCTATTTTAAATAAAAGAAAAAATAAAAAGCCTTTCTTGAAGTTATAATTTTTTAAGCATGTAACTGCTCGATGTTTTAAATCTAAAGAAAGTATTACTAGAAAAAATTTGGTACCACCATCCATTGCGTGTTCCGTGCGCATCTGCCTGTTGTTTTATAAATCTGAGCCTCTAAGTATTCGGAACAAACATTTATGTCTTGTGACAAAAACTTAAAAAATAAAGAGAAGTTTATATTTCATTATTATTATTTCACTAATATAAATACAGAATATTTTTAATTTTATTTAACTTTCAATTAAAAGTTTTCAAGAACATTAACGCTCGAGGGATTCAAATATAAAGGCTCCGATACCCGTGCCGAGCATCGAACCGATACGCCATCGGTATGGTAGCTGCGTTAATTAAAAACCTAAGGGCACATTCCTACTAATGTGCGATTTAATCGGTGGAAACGTGCAAGCGATTTTGGAATTCAATGTCTAAGCAAGAGATTCCATATTGCCCCGCCCACGTATTAAGTCGTGTCGAACAGTATTCTGGTATTTGTTAGGGTTGCCATTTATTCATCGGAACAGTTTTGTTCGTTCAAATTATCTGAAAAATGTCATTTTGTATTCTTTTGTAATTAATCGATTCTGATAATCAGTCAGATTGCGTCCATCGATAAGTAATCCGTCGTTGTATGAAATCAGCCTGTACTCATTAGCTATTTTCTTCAATAAATAAAAGCGAAAATAAGTCCCTTGATTCATATCACATTTCTTAAGTTTAATTATCCAATAAAAAAATACTAAAATGTAATTTAGACAAATAAGTCATCCAATCCTATTTTCGTAAAAAAAAATGAGTAACATGACATTTGAATTCACATCAGAACTTACTTAATTAACTTATAAAAAATCATAACTTGAGAGCAAATATTTGTGCTAATAACACTAACGAGTTCCTTTGACACGCTTCGAACCCAGGGCTTATGGATGGCTGGAGCTATACTAATGCATACACTAAGCTACTCATCAAGCTACTTATCTTTCATCATCATTAACAAAAATAAAAATATTCATTTCTTACGTTTTCACGCACACCAAACATAGAAAAAAAAAAAACACTTTAAACTTTTTTTTGTCCAGAACACGAAATCTGTAAACGGATCCGAAACGTCGGGAATATGTGAAATAATTAAAAGCACACTTCAAACCCATACATATATATAAACAAAAGAGTTTTATTTAACAATAATCTGCATAGATTATTATTATCTGAAAGCGCCACCCCTGATTGACTCTCATTCTGTCATTGAAGATAGATAGCAGAACGGACACAGAATTAGATTGTAATACCTGAAAAATAAAGCACTTATTCGCTCGTCAACACGCGAGAATTACTCGATTCAAGAATCCTAATCGAATGCTCAGCCTAGATTTTTTTCGTTTCACGATTATATCTTATCATGTTCAGTCTAAGGTTTAACTTCGTTTGGCAAATCGCTCGAGAATAGCGGAGATAATGAGTTTTTTATGTTTTTCCCTTTATTATCTCAATTCTGAGAGCGATCTTATTAAAATGTACTTATATCCTCTGTGTATTATATAGATTAAAGGCTGTATTTTTATATGGAATCATAATGTTATTAATCTTTAAAGCTTTTTTGCGTTTTTAAAGAGTTCTTATTTAAATTTTGTATACATTTTTTTATTTTTTTTTATTGATAACGTACTTTCATTGAAGATAATAATAATGAGCGTAAAGTGAAAACAGCTGATTGCTGGTACCAAAATAATAGCGGGTGTGAATTTAATACAGTAATATACATAATAAAAACAATGTTTGACCGAGAAATTCAATTACGAAAATACCTTTTGAAGTTTTTAATGATTTCGGAACATGTTTTAATAATTAATTCACTTAAACGTAATTTTCATAGTAACTTAATTTGACGGTTGAAAACACCTTTGAGTTGCAACGACAGTGACTATTGTGTATTCTTCGATAACGTTAAATTGGTGAGGCATCCCTGTCGCGCGGCAAACGAGACTGAACGAATGCCCCCCCCTCTCTCCGCTCAGACCCCGCGTTCCCCGCGGCCCGCGCTTGCCTCGCCCCGCGTACCCCAGTGCCGATGACCGGCCTACGCGACGTGCGATTGCGTCATTCAACACGAGCAAGCGAGTTGTTTCAAAATGGCGTTTAGTTGTGCACCGAACGCGCGAATGATACCCCGTTACGCACCTTTTAACAGTTTTCAACGTTATTAATGTTGTGTCTGTGTTTTTAGTGATCAAAATGGAACCCGCACAGCCTCAAGAACATGTGAAATCAGAACTAATTCAATTGTGTCATCGTATTTATAGAAAACTCGACGCGAACGATCGCCTGCAGTCGATCGCTTCATACAAAAAACACTATGGAGACGGTTACAGTGACTGTGTTTTGTACACGTCTAACCTTACAGGTATGCACCCGCATGTATTGGAACAATTAAAAGATGATTCCCAAGAAATGAAGATAAGTAGTGAAGAAATGGACCGTGCAATCATACTCAAGGAATTGACGGATTTCTATTTGAACAAACAAATAATGCCTACTACCAGAGATTTGTTCGATGCGTTACAAGGGAAATTGCCTTTCCACATGGACATTGCCAGCTTTCGCAAACATCTCGCACTCATGGACTTCATGTGGAAGAATGTACAAAACAGATTCTTCGTCATAGAACGACCAGAAGTATCCTACGAACGATACAAGTTTTTGAAACTCGTATTAGAATACCACGAAAATAATAGGCCGATTTACTTCATCGAGGAGTTAGTGTACGCAGTCAAAAATTTTTTTACAAAATCAACGGGGCAAAAAGCTTACAGACCTAAGGATCCTGCCAATGTAGTGTATGCTTTATCTAAAAAAGGTGCCCTGTACAAATCAGTGCCAGAGTATTGCGGGAAGGAATTCAATAACTTCTTATGTGATGTTTTGATACCTAATCTGAAGGAGCATAGTCTAATCGTTATTAAGAACAAAAATTATTGTAGTGAAAAGGCCGTGTTGTTTAATCCGACCTTCGCAAGTACGATAAGAGACATGAAAGAATGGTTAGATAGAAATTACGTACCTTACGACGATGGTATGTCGAAAGGTGAACTGTATTCGTTGATACAGAAATGCACAAATAAGGATCAGAATACATATTTTGCCGATAGCATAATTAAAGCGCACGGGCACAATGCAGTCAGGATACCCGCTAGCATAGAGCAGTTAGCACCTACCACTTTCTTTTTCGAATTAGTTCAAGATACGTTTGTTGATTTCAACGATGAGAAGTTGTCGGCACAGGGGGTTATGTTTCAGATATTTAATACTATAGATGAACAGCGATTGGCGCATATGTATGAAGGTGTGATGGATGAGTATAAAAGCCTTTTGCAGAATGACATTAAGGTCGATGATGTGCTAGATTCACTTATTGCAAAGATGGCCACTCGGAATGTTGAAGGAGCGGAGGATTCTGATATTCCGTCAGATGGCGAAGTTTAGAGTGACAACATTGAATTTGGCTAAGGACATGCTATTTTGATTTCTTGTTAATACTAATAAACGGTTAAGAAATTATTTCTCTTTTTTATTACACTTTTACAATACACTTTTATTCGCTTTCCCCAAAAGATACTTTTTGACGATTTTGTAATCAAAAGGTTTGCACTTCAGGCGTTACAACAAGTGACAATCTGTATATTTTGAGGTCGAGCAAAAAACGCTAATACAATCATATTTTTTTTATGAGAGCCCCATAGATAAATGATTGGTCTCGCTCATTTACAGACCAATCAAACCAATCATTTATCTATAAGGAAGCCCCTATAATTGTAAAGATTTTTTTAAACCATGTAGAAATCCACAAAATAAAGTTCCTAGTACACATGCAACCCGCTAAAGAACTAGTGGACGGATGGACAGATGAACATCGGAGGTTTAGTAACAGCAATAAATTAATAATACAATCACCCACAAAGATAAAGGGTCACCTTGAAAACAGCAATATCTTCAAGAAATTATCAAGAAAAATCCTCATAATTATGAAATTAAAAATGTTTTTATAAGTAACTTGACAAAATTCAATGGATAGCAAGACAAAAGTCTTTGACCAGTGTGTGTTGCCAGTGATGACCTACGGAAACGAGACGTGGTCCTTTACTGCGGGTCTCATAAGAAGGCTCAAGGTTACACAGCGAGCAATGGAGAGAGCAATGCTCGGTGTTTCCCTACGCGATAGAATCAGAAATGAGGAAATCCGTAGGAGAACCGAAGTTACCGATATCGCTCGAAATTTTGCTCTGCTGAAGTGGCAGTGGGAGGGACACGTAGCAAGAAGAACCGAAGGCCGTTGGGGCGATTAGGTTCTGGAATGGCGACCACGCACCGGACGACGTACAAGGTGGACCGACGATCTTGTGAAGGTCGCGGGAAGCCGATGGATGCGAGTGGCGCAGGGCCGATCGGTGTGGAGATCCTTGGGGGAGGCCTATGCTCAGCAGTGGGCGTCATATGGCTGACATGATGGGTTAGCTTATGTGGTGTCAAAGTTATATGGAGTTAACGAGGAGACCCTTAATCGTTTTTGGGCTACTATAATTCTGTTAGGTACCATTCTTTGGGAACGGAACTGTAATAAAATTAGGTTTCTTGTCGGGAGGATGGCAAATACCAAGTACACCAATGTTTGGATAAAAAAGTATTTCGTATGGTGTGTGTTGTACCATTTGTATCTGGTTAGATATCGGTACTTAACTCTGCTAATATGGGTAATAGTATTCATCATTTATTTTTCTGTCCATTATTAAAGTTAAATAGCCCAACGAGGAAAAGGAATTCGATACATTTAAGTTGAATTAAAATAAGTGTAATTATATTTTATAAACATTTTTTAAAACCAGCTTTAATAAAGTCCTTACATTTGATACCCATAGTAAGAAGCACAAAATTTAGTCCGCCATATTGGGTTTGGAGAAGTAACACTAATAGGCATGCTGAGAATAACTATAAAATAAGAATTATTCTCAGTTTTATATTTAGTTTTGATACACATGTAGTAGTGCATTAAAAATAATTTGTCCGCAATCTTGGGTGTTCCGCCATGTTGGATTTAGAATGACGTAATTTTTTTCTAAATGGCTTCGCACGGCTTGTGCATTTAGCCAATGTCAAGTATTAAATGTATACAAATACTATAGCACTCGTGGTCAAAGTAATAAGTCAAGTCAAAGTAAGTGGCAGTCAAGTCAATCCCCCTTTCCCCATGTTTCAGTAAAAGTGTGGGGATTTACTGGAACCTCCCCGTGGACTTCTTGAGGGAACGTCGAAAGACACTTTCCGCTATTTTGTTACACTTGCCAACACTTGTGCATGTTCCCGAACACTTAGTGGTTAATAATATGGTTAATAATCCACCATTATTAGACACTAACATCCGCCACAACACAATTTTTAACAAGAAAAACAAAACTGCTAAAGTGACGCTTCCCGATCCCGCCAAAAAGTCCGAATAAAAAATATTTTCCAAAATCGAACATAAAAGTACATTATAATTATAACAAAACTTCTCATACTTAATTGACATGTCTTGAGTTTTATAAGAAATTGTTATGTTATTTATTGCTTACCTAATAACAATGCAATTTTGAATGAACCATACGAACAAGAAGTTGATGTTAAACAACTATATTTAATTAACAAACTATCTGACGGATATCTAACTGTGACCGCAATAAATCTAGCAGATCCTAACACAATAAACTTGCAGGGGTCACGATGACAGTCCCAAGGCAAGGTAAACATTCGGTATCAATATTCCATCAGTACATATTGAAGGATGCCTATTGTTGATTTTGGCGCCTTATCTAATCGAGAATATTGCGTGAAACTACAATATGAAACAAACTAACTATTCTCAAATCTGTATTAACATATCCTACTAAAATACGCCAAAATGTGAAACATTTTACTCAATCACCCAAAAACTACCGAACTGATTTGGATGAAATTTGGTATACATATCGTTGATGAACTGGATCGAGACATAGGATACTTTGTGTCCACGGAAAATGATGGGTTCCTGTGGGATTCTCAAAAACTGAAGTTAATGATAATCTAATTGAGATAAAAGAAACAAAAAAAATTACTACAGTAGAACCTTGATAACTTAAACCTCAACAACGTAATAACCTCTATAAATTCATAAAAATTTGTGTTCCCTTCCCCTTTGGAGTCCAAAACCTCTTTTACTTAAAATACGAATCCTCTATAACTTAAACGAATAATTTTGGCATCGAACCTCAGTAACTCAAATTTGTAACGACGACTACCTACCTTTGTAACTTCAATCATCTATCAATTAGTCATGTAAAATGAATGTACAAAGAAAAAATGTTCCCTGTAGTCCATTGTTAATGCTTACACGTGTTTACCAAATGGCTTCAAATGTAAACAATACACTAAGGTCTCAGTACGGTTACTTATTTGTATCATTCGAACATAGCTCGTCTATCTCTATAATTCCTAAACATAACTCATAAATGAACCTCTGTAAGTAGAAATATAAACAAATAAAAACTCCTTAACTCAAACCCTTAGTAAGTAAAAACCTCAATAACTCAAATTATTTAACGTTTCTCTTGGTCTTATCGAGGTTCTACTGTATAACTTTAGATAGGTAAGATAAACCAATTGATCGCTGACCCACTTACCTGATAATTCGCTTATAATAATTGTCAAAACATACGAATTTTCCTTTGAAGAGAATGCGACTTGCACTTTGGACCTTCTAATTACAAGGAAACTGTGTTCAGGATCAAAGTTATTCGAAATTTGACCTTTGTTTTCAATGATAATTTAGATATTGTAGATGAAATTGCAAAAATACTTAAGTTCGAAATCGCTTTTAAAATCGTAGAAGTAATAGAAACTCTTTCGATTTCATAACATTACTAGCTGTCCCAGCGAACTTCGTACCGCCATAAAAAAATAGGGGTTGATTGTAAAGGGTTGAAAATTCAGGGTTATATGTATTTGCTAATGCTGTATCATAAAAAAATTTAAAAAAATATGTATCTAAAATTGAAAAAAAAATTTAGGGATGGATTACCCTTACCCTGGATTATATTTAGGGGGATGAAAAATAGATGTTGTCCGATTCTCCGACCTACCCAATATGCACACAAAATTTCATGAGAATCGGGAAAGCCGTTTCGGAGGAATTTAACCACAAACACCGCGACTCGAGAATTTTATATATTAGATAAAAAACGTTGGTAAACTAATAAAAATCCTGAGCAAATCCATGGACAAAACTCCAAATAATTTAATGTCAAAATTATGTCACAGGAAGCCGGCAAAATCTGTCACGTCAAATAATGATTGTTCAGAAAACAAGAAGTCTGTCCAGGGAATATGTATATTCAAGCAAAAATCTACCTCATCGTATTGAAATGGTTGTAACAAAATAAGCGTAATGTGGGTCAGGAATCAAATTGGCTGATTGACTATACTCATGTACTGTTTAGAAATTAAAATACAAGAAAGAATTGTTACTTTATTTCATTTATTATGTGTTGAATATAATCGGTATGTTTTGCCGAATAGCCTAGCCGCCGAATAGTCGCCTTTTCCGACTACTCGGGGGCTAGCAGACCCGTCTTTCCCATTGGGCACTTTGGGCAAGTGCCCAGGGCCCCAGATCAAATACAAAGTCCCTAGTTCCTGTTAAATCACTAAACGGAAGTCATAGAGGCCCCATTATCCTAATATGCCCAGGGCTTCCAATCGGTCAAAGACGGCACTGGGGGCTAGTCAGCCCATCTCTAGTTATTAATAACAAAGTAATATAAGTTTTAAAATATAAAAAAATCGGTAAAAAGTTCATTGAAGCCAATGTTGCTTAGGCTCTTTTGACTAGTATATTTACGGCATGTCATAAGTATGATTATGTATACTTAAAATGAGCATGCTCTTGAATAATCTGTGTATGTGTCATAACGAATTTCTCGCATGAATTAGAGCGCCCGTCTGTGGAAGTACCTTTTACCTTACAGAAGACGACATTAAAATAACACTACCTTTTGGTGGTGTTGTGTTTCTATCGGTGAGTAAGGTTCTAGATCTAGAGCCTCATGAGGTAGGGAGGTTGAATCAGGGTAGGCAAAGGCGTGGCACGGAGATGAGCCCGCGCCAGTGTTGCCAGGTCCGATTTTCAAAAATCGGGAGTCGTTATAGAAAAAAACAGTAGATTTATGGAAAGAGCTACAAGAAAAACAGTAGATGCAGAGGCATACTTTTTCCGATTTGCATCCCCGCACCCTAGAATTGGTAAATCAAATCAAGATAAAGACCAATAACGAATGTGTTTCTGTGGCTTCTGCCGCCCCTCAAAGCTATTTTATTTAGACAATTAAATTTATTTTATAATTATTAAGGTTATCTACATCATTAATGACGGAAAATGCAATTGTGAACCATAGTGAATTTGTAACGCTTAAATGTCTATATATTTTAAATATTAGCAAGTCTGTGTGTGCGTGAGTTTGTGTGTGTGTGTGTGTGTATGTGT